GTGGCCGTGGCCTTCCACGCAAACTTCAACTACGTGTGGCTGCGCCTGCTGGAGCGCGCGATGCCGGGCCGCGCGCCGCGTGCGGTCCTGGCCAAGGTGCTGTGCGACCAGGCGCTCGGCGGGCCAGTGGCGATCTCTGCCTTCTACGCTGGTGAGGAGCCTGGTGGGGTGTGGGGATGGAGTGATGGGGATTGAGGGGGTGGGGGTGGGTTCCGGGGCTGGAGCTGGGGGAAGGGGCTGGATCTGGTGACAGGGCCGGGAGCCAGGACTAGGGGACTGAAGCCAGGGCTTCAAGGAGCTGAGACATGGCAGGAGCCTGTGGCCTGGGGGCCAGGGACCAGGGTTTGAGGGCAGTGGGAAGGTCAGGCCGAGGATGGAGGTCGAGGTGCAAGGGCTAAGATGTCTGGGGACCGTGGATTAGACAGATTGAGGGGGAAGAAGTTGAGAGGTGGTTGCTGGAGAGGCCAGGGGTTAGGGGGCCTGGGTCCAGCAGGGTAGGGATCCAGGGGCCAGGGTCTTCTTTGGGATGCTGAGGTTGCATGTGGTCTGGGTCTGTAGGTTTCAGGGGGCCAGGGGCTGGGCTGGAACTGAGAGAAGCAGGGCTGGGGTTTATTTCCTTCTGAAAAAGGTCCATGGAAATGTTGATGAGATCCCCAGCTAGTTACCATAGCACTGCAACCCCTGTGACCAAGTTGTGGGTTGGGAGTTGTCCTGCTCCTTGGAAAATTCCTGTCTGGGGCTAGCGGCCTCCTTTCCACTGGCAGGACACCCCTTTCCAACTCAGGCACAAAAATGTGAGGGGATTCAGAACTGTAGGGGCAGAGCCGGTGGAATCTGAGGTCTGGCCTACTTTCTCAGAAAAATGTATGCTCGGGGCCATAGTCCTGCTTTGGTAACAAGATTTACCTGCCTGGTGGAGGGAGGGGGACCCCATCCCCTTAGGGTCAAAACCCACAGAATATGTGAAGAGACTTCAGACCCCTGCCACGAGAGGATTCTATACCTGTGAGTGTCCCAGGGAACCCCCTCCTCCGAAAGTCCAGCCTGGAGCCTGAGAGCCTGACTTTGGGAACCTTCCTTGGGGCCCTAAATTCTAAAAACAATAGAAGGGGCTCTGTGGCCTTCATCTTCATAGCATTTTCTATCTCCCTGAAGGGAGTGGGCAGGGGAGGAGCACCCATCCTCCAAGAAAATTCAAGGGCCCTGGGCCTGACCTTGGCATTGGCTGTTGGTACTTTTTTCTAACCTGGTCGAAGTGGTCAAGTCACGACCTTGAAGGAACCTCCACTGCCCTGTGAGTATTATTTGGGGAGCCAGAGTCCAACTGCACAGGAAACATGACTGATGCAGTGCCAGCCGGCCAGATGGCCGATGGGGTCAGTGAGGTCAGGGGACAGAAGACCTGAGAGCAGGGGCTGCCTAGTTTATCAGATCTCTGCCTGGTCCCAGGGTGTGACTTCCAGACCAGATTTGCAAACCAGTTCCTCGTGCCTGCTACTGCAGTGGCCTCTTCAAGAAGGGACTGGGAGCCTGGGGGCTGGGCGTTTAGTAATCAGATTCCTATTTAATCCTCAAACAATCCCAGTGAGGCAGGTACTTTATTCCCATGTTACAGATTTAGAAACTGAGGCTCAAAGGGGATAAATGACTTGTCTGAAGACAACACAATCCATGGCATGGTCTTCATTACAATGGAGGTTTCAGCATGCTTGAAACCAGAAAGGTGCTGCAGGAACAGGGCTTCTGGGGCCTATGGGTCAATCCTAGGGCACCGTGACATGGATTCCTGCCCACACTGCTTCTTTGCTTTGCTTTTCCGATTTCTGGGCCCCGGTTTCCTTCTCCTCAAATTAAAAAAGGGGTAAGTGGGACACAACATTGTAAAATGATTATAAATCAATAAAAATGTTAAAAAAAAAAAGGGGGTAAGGGGGCAGGGGGTGAGTTGCATGTTTAAGGCACTTCAGACTTGGAAATTGCCTGTATCTTTGTTCTGGGGCCCCTTGGGAACTAGAGTAGTTGTGATTGAGAAGTCTGGCTTGGAATCCACACTTAGGTTGGACTTGGACCGCTGTCAACCTCCCCAAGCTCTTCCTCCTCTGTAACTCTACCATCCTCAGCTGAGGGCTAGGAGGGTCATGTGAAAGAACCTAACGAGCTTAGCCCTTAATTAGTACTGGGTAAGTGGAAGGAGATATTACCGATAAATTGGGCTGGGTTTTCTTATGAGTCCTGTTCTAAGAACCCCCTGCAATTGATCAAAAAGATCTTATTTTCCCTTCCTCTTAATCCGAGTTGGGGGAGAATTTTTAAAGCACTCTTTATTTTTACACCCTTCCTAAAAATAGGAAGGTTTTGTCTTTGCTCCCTGAATTCCTTTTCAGGGTTCTTGAAAGTTTTCCAGATGTTTTTCGGAACGCTGAATTGGTGTCCTGCTTTCAGATTCCAATTAGAAAGCCTCTTTGATGGAATGTCTGTAGTTGCTGTAATGCCCAGGGTCCTGCAGCCTTTTTGTAAAAGGCGGCAATTAAATTTAAAAATTTTAAACATTTCACAAAACGTTTTGAAGGGAGAGAGGAAAAGTCACCAAATAGTCCCACTATGCTAACATTGTGGGTTTTGTGATTTCTTACAGCTTAAAAAAAAAATGATTCTGCTATACTTTGTGCCCTACTTTTCTCACTTAATACTTATCATTGCTTTAAAATATACCTAGTTTTAGGATGGAGATTATCTTCTGTTTTCACTGTTGGGCCAGAAGGGACATAGCGAGAGAGTGAGAGTGGTGGTTACCTTGCATATTGGAATAGAAAACTTGAACATGAACCTCTTATACAGGATTCTTCCTATTGACTTTTTAAAAATATTTTTGGTGTTTGTTTTTGCAAATAGGTATGAGTATTCTCCAGCGAAAGGATGACATATTTTTGGACCTGAGACAGAAATTCTGGAATACATATATGGTAAGACAGACTTTTGAAGATGCAACCAAGATCTCTTTGTATCTTTTTCACGTTAAATACATTTTAATAAAAATATTCTTAAATTAGGGCCCCAGTTGGTTGGCACAAAGGTATAATGTTTTGACAGATCTTAAATTTGTTTCGCTATAGTTGAACGAGGAGCTTTAAGAGTGGTTCTATGTGAGTGTCTCTGAATTTTAGTCAGTGTTCACAGGGACCTCCGACGTTCTTGTATTTACTCTTGTTAGTGATCACAGTAAATTTTGGAGCCAAATAGGTTATTGCAAAATAGGAATAGTAGAAATGACACAAATGACCTTATTTACAAAACAGAAACAGACTCACAGACAGAGAAAACAAACTTAATGGTTACCAAGGGGAAAGGGACAGGTAGAGGGATACACTGAAAGTTCAGGATTTGCAGATACTAAATACTGTACGTAAAATAAACAGCAAGATCCTATTGTATAGCATAGGGAATTATATTCAATGCCTTGTAATAGCCTATAATGAAAAAGAACATGAAAAGGAATATATATATGTGTAACTGAATCCCTATGCTGTACACCAGAAATTAACACAACATTGTAAACCGACTATAATTAAAAAAAAAAAGGAATAGTAGAATGTGAGTGGCATAATGGAATTGTTCCCACATTTAGAGCCAATGTTTCCAGGTGTGCATTCTGGTGAGTCCCTATGAAAGGCACCTTCTTAATATCACACAGGTATTTACAGAGAAGGAAGATGTTTCCTAGGGTTATTCCTAGGCTTGAAGCAAGTCAACTGTTGCACTGTGTGCCCAGTACCAATACATATAATCCAGTCCAACAAATAATTCAGTTATTCAATGAAGATTTACTGAGCAGTGTCCTCAAGGCCTGGCAAAGTCAGGGATGCTTTCCAGCGCTGGTATAGAGCATGTTTGATTCTATTAAAGACAACAAGGTGAATTTTCAGCATTCCAGAGTGTGCACAGACTGGCTTAGGGCTTCACATCTACTTAATTCCCTATCAAAAGCAGTGCCATGCCACCCCCAGCTATCACCTGCTCTGCTTCTAGCATCTTCTGTTGAAAGACCCTGAGTGTCAGAACCAGCATCACCCGCTTGATAGCTGGAGGCAAGTGATGAGGAGGGTGGAAGCCACATGCTTCCCCTGGGCCTCTCTACCCGAGTACAGTTCCTTCTTGTTTCCCGGGGGAAAATGCTCAGAACTCTTTTTTTTTTTTTTAAATTATTTATTTATTTACAGAGGGGGAGTAATTAGATTTGTTTGTTTATTTTTAAATGAAGGTACTAGGGATTGAACCCAGGACTCCGTGCATGCTCAGCTCCGTACCACTGAGCTATATTCTCCCCTCCCCCTACCTCATTCAGGACTCTTGTTAACTTACCTTGGAGCGAAAATTGTGGGCCCAGGGTGACATCCAAATGTGATTTTCTTCTGCTTTATTTTGGAAAAAGGAACAGGTTTTCCCATTATGTCATAGATCCTGTGGTGATAGGTACATCTGATATTCATACAAAGACCAAGCAAGCAGAATTGTGAAAGAAAAGGGGCTTTCAGCAAGGATTTGCAGATGTTTCAGATTCTCCTCCCTTAGCAAAGACACACAGGCTATCTTTGTTGGGCAGAAACATGGGGACTTCTGCACCCCTTTTTAAAAAACAGTGGTTCCAGATGAGTCAGTTGAATCGATCCTCCTGAGAAGAAAGAGGGTACCAGCCTTCTGTTGCTTAGCACCATTTGGGGACTTTCCTGAAGATCTCCCAGAACAAGACTTAGGGGGAGGGGACAGCTCAGTGGTAGAGTGCATGCTCAGTATGCATGAGGTCCTGGGTTCAATCCCCAGTACTTCCATAAAAATCAATCAATCAAACAAACAAACCAGCTATGGGGTTATTGTAACCAAGTTCACATAAGAAATAATGAAGCAGTAGGAAGAAGAATGATTTGAGAAATACTTAGGCAGAATTGGCAGGTCTTGATTGATTGGAAGTAGGGGTAGTGGGCAAGGACACATCCAAGGGTGACCCACCCACATTTGCTGGGTGTCACTCAGCATCCTCTAAGCAAGAGCCCACTTTTCTCTCCTAGTTGTTTATTTGCTTACTTCTCTATTATCAGCATGGATTCAGGGATTCCCATTTTTCCAATGGCTAATAATTCATTGCTGTGTTTGATTATTTTTGGTGTGCAGATATCCCAGATTTGAGCCATGAGAGTCCCTTCAGGTTGGCTCCTATGTCCTTTGGACAAACCCCTACTCCCATCCTTTCTTTTTTATTTAAAGCCACTTCCTTACATTAAGTCATAAAAGATGTTCTAGGTTCGTCTGGTACATTTACCTGCCCTGAAATCGGCAGGTAATGGAATCAGCCATTTCTCTGAGGAGTCCTGTTGCTTTTTGTGGGGAATGGCATAGAAGACCAAGACCAACTGCATGTTAGGTGATGCTACACTCTGCAGGAAAAAAACTGCTGTGAAGAAGTGAAGTCATGTTTGGATGGGTTTAATCTTCTGATAACTTTTCCTAAAGTAGTAAGTTCTTAAATGAGTGTATACTTTAAACTTTTAATAGCTTTTATTGCAACAGTTTATCGTAGAAACTTTAGAAAATAAAAATTAGTAAGAAAAGAAAAAACTACCACCTTTATATTACATTGTCATAGGGACTATTTGAAAAACCTCTAGGTTTTTTTTTTTAAGATATAATTTACATACTAAGACCTCTATCTTTCAAAAAAATCCATAATAATGACCTTTTTGTCAATAAGTATAGGTTAAAGCCTGTTAAAATAAATCCATCTTAAACGCTAAACTTATTCTACAGCATGAAATAGTTAGAATATATAAATCACCATAAAGAATGGTTTGGTCTATAGTTTTAAAAATTCAGTAATGATCCTGTATTTTATAAATATATTACTGCATCATTTGCTTGGGCAAACAGGAAAATTATAATATACAAATAACATGTTATTTTAAAAGCAGTTGTCTTCTGGAATTGGTCCTGATTCTGGTAGACTTTTAATTGTAGATCTGTGAATATAGCTAATAAAAATCTTTATGCTTGTGCCTAACAGCTTTTTGTACAACTCCCCACCCTCTTCCACTCGAGAGACCATAAATAGTCTAATTTAATCAGCTTAGTCTGAAATATAACACCACCTCCACATTCTAGCTGCCTGGCTTTCTTAATGCTTTATGGAATGAACTGTGTGATTGTTTCATGTGATTAAAAGGCATTCTAATAAGGTTTTTCTTTATTCCAGAGTGGTCTGATGTACTGGCCTTTTGTACAGGTGAGTTTCAAACCACTTAGAGTGCTAACTGGTGGGTTTGGTTTATATGGAGCCCTAAGACTGTCTCTATGTTACAGCTGGCCAACTTCAGCCTTGTTCCTGTTCACTGGAGAACAGCTTACACTGGACTCTGTGGTTTTCTGTGGGCCACCTTCCTCTGCTTCTCACAACAGGGTGGTGATGGCACGTTGAAGTCAGCTTTCACTCTCCTTCGTATAAAGGGGACACGCGAGGTTGAAAAGGCCCCACAGAAATGACAAGTTGAGAACTCCCTGAAAGTGGCTAATTTTTTAAAGGCAGTGGATTGACTGCAGATGAAATACTTTGCTTACCACTTGTGTACTCCATTTTGAAGAATTACTATTCTGTAGACTTGATTGTTTCTTAACTAGTGATGATAACTTTCAATTTTATTCGCATCTCCCTTTTTTCCCATTCTAATCTGAAAGGATTACTTCTCTAATACTTCGGCTACTATCAATAACAGTGGCAAAGTGGCATTTTATAATCACTACTATTTCTAGTCTAATATTTTGTTGCCAGTTGATTTAAGGAACCCTCATTTTGATTGTATACTTCTCTCCTCTGAAGTCTCAGGTTATCTCCTAAACATTTTTGGATCAGATTACCTTTTATAACAAAAACAGTCCTTATAGTAAATTTCTGTTTACACAGAATTCGATCAGGAAGATTGAATCACCAGGTTTTCCCCTAAAATACTGTATAACTTACTGTTATGCTGATACTAAGGTTCTATAAGTACATTTTATATCAAAAAACAAAACAGTGTATGATCATTGTGTTCTGTACAGAATGTAATTTGGCTGATGTCTTCTACTTTTATAGTTTTTAAGTATTCTTTAATGCTTTTTAGCCTTCAGCATATTTACTTGGCTAAACATTGCATTTCCTTGACATACGAAATATACAAAAGGAGGGGGAGGGTATAGCTCAAGTGGTAGAGCGCATGCTTAGCATACACAAGGTCTTGGATTCAATTCTCATCACCACCTGTAAAAATTTTAAATAAGTAAACCTAATTACCTCCCCCTAAAAAATAAAAAAAAGAAAGAAATTTTGAAAAAAAAAAGAAATATATAAAGTATTTGGCTTTTAAAAGAAATATATTGACTAAAGTGTCTAAAAAAAATTAAGTTTTCTTTTGGAAGGAAGAATTCTATTTCATAAAGTTCCAGGGAAAATAGTTGCCCAAAATTCACAGTGATGTCCTATTTTTTAAATTAGTGCTTTAACGAATCTTTATAGGTAATCTTTAAGGCAGACATGAGAAACTCAATCCAGTTTTTCAGATTTACGCAGTTTTTCTAACTTCAAAACCAGTGGGTTTAAGAATTATGTGAATAATTCAAGAAGTTTTAGCAATTTTCATCCAAGAATCGCATCACTATTCTGTTGCTTCCAGTGGAGTGTTTCACAAATGTAAGGATGTGAAGGGCTGAGATGTTAATATATTTATCTTCAGAATTTATATTTGAGATTAACTTAAGAATGTATTCCTAAATATTTTAAGCATATAATTTATATAAATTGTAATATAAATTTATATGTCATAAGTATATAACTTCTAAGTATATGATTTATTTCAATTTAATAGGTGTTAATATATTTTACATTATTGGGACAACAGTAAGAAAACTTCTAAATAGTTTATTTCTAAAATAATCTGTGTTTTGCATAGTTTTAAAAGTAGCTGATACAACAGAAAAGCTATTTCACAATACATGACATGTTTTGTTATTTAAAAAGTATATCCAGACCAGTGACTGTGCCTCAGCTTTGAATAATGCAGATGCTTCTGTCCAGCTTACTTGTAATTAAAAATCATGCATAATTTGCAAACCTATCAGTCTTTTTCATTTCTAGGAAAATTAATGAAAGTCATTCCTTTATCTATATCATAGTTTGGTTTGGTTGGAAAGAATTAGGCAATGTGAGAGTTTGCCTGTGTTTAAAATTTTCTAATACCAAGCACGGGAGTGGCATGTAAAAATACTTTCCTCAAAATCTATCAGAAAGGTGATTCAGCGGACAAAGTGACTGATTATTTGTCCAGTACACAGTCAGTGAAATTTGGCATTTAGGGGTTCATAAAAATGAAGGGTGCTTTAGGAAAATTTTATCTTATTTGTATGGATGCTTTTGGGGCCAAAATAAGAAAACTGTTTAATGGATGAAAGGAATTACAACTACAAAAGATTTAGTTCAAAGAGGGAAACATTTTTACATTCTAGTACTTCAGTGATAATTCCAATTTTGGTTTTTAATACTTCGAAGAAAATGTTTTACTTCTTTTACTATAAAATGTATTGATAAAGAGATTTAACTTTGGTGTTCAGGTTGTATCTAAGTAGGGCCTCCAGATCAACTATGTTAACCAAAACCGAACTAAAAGTCTCTTCAGGTTAGCAAAAAAAAAAAAAAAAAAAAAAATTAGTCTCTTTAATTAAGGTAGATAACCCAGAACTACAATTTCTAATTCATCCATTATTGCTGTATACTTTCTCTATATCTCTTCTAAGAATCGTCATCCTTTAGGATTCATTTGAAGCTATTGAAAAATATTTTCTTTTGCAAGATGGACAGTTTATGTTGAGTGGAATTTTATGTGAACTTCTGCAGGGTGTTTGCCAAAACCACTTATATCCAGAACATGCTTAACAATATATTCTGGAGGCAGCTTTTGTTTAAAATTATGTTCATCTCCTGAAAGAATTAGAAAGTTAATGGATTTTTGTGCCTGAAGATCATGACTTTGCATTGGCTACATTTAATCTAGTTTTACCGATATTTAGAAACCAAATCACGGAAAATGCAATTAAAAAACTACTGAGGTGCGTAGGATATAGCTCAGTGGTAGAGTGCATACTTAGCATGCACGAGGTCCTGGGTTCAATCCCCAGTACCTCTATCAAATGAATAAACCTGATTACTTCCCCCCTCCAAAAAAATATTGAGAAAGTTCTTATTTATTTATTTGTTTATATTGAAGTGTAGTTGATTTACAGAAAATTATTCTTTTAATACTGTCAACGGCCAATAAGTGGAAGGGGAAATCCGGACTTTAAAGATAAAGGATGACGGATGAAGAGCTGTAAACAGCAGCCAACCAAGTGAATAAAAGGGAATGGTTTACAGCTGACTAACATGATTGGTATTTATCAGTTAAAAAGGTATTTCTTTTTAGTTCTCTTCCCCATTGTAAGTCTGTCTTTCCTTAAATCTTTATTCGTCCATACCTTCTGTCCTCTTTCCCTGTTGAGTGGCCATAATAAGCCCCCTTCTCCTGTACTTCATCCCTCCCCAGCCACGGCCACCCAGACACTGGGGGCTGGCAGGAGGGGGCAGAATAATTGTAATGAGGTTATAGGGACCAGCCTATTTAAGTCATATGACAGCTATGCTTTAGAGAGATGGTAGCAGAGACCCCTATTTTGGAATTTCTTCCCCCAGAGGGGAGAAAAGGAAGAAGGATCAGCTCTAGAGAGAATCTTGAAGTAAGGGAACATTCTGGAGGCAGCTTCTATTTGCAATTAGGTTCATCTTCTGAAAGTGTTAGAAACCTGATGGGTTCTCATGCCAGAAGATTTTGACCTTGCGGTGTCCACTTTCTTTTCAGAGATCCTCCCGTTCTGGATGCCCTGTCCTGCATTCTCTCCAACTTAGTGCTGTATCTTCCAGATCAGATCTCATCTCTTCCTCACCTCTCCAAACTCCCATTCTCTCCTGTGACTGACTTGAGCTACATTTAGAAAAGTAGGTTTATTAAGCTAACTCACTGAGATGCGGATGACAGCCTTTATGGCTAAGTTGTTTTTTTTTTTAATTGCTAACAAAAACGAATCTCTGGATGGAATTTTAGAAACTATTGCTGTGCTGAAAGGAGGTAGAAAAGAAGAGGGTATATTTTTGGCAGGAGACTTCTGATACACTTTACATTATGACGTTCATTTCCCATTGCATTAAAACCGGCCATGCACTTCAACTAAAAAATTGAAGAAAAAAAAAAACCTGAAACACCAGCCAGGCAAAGATCATTGCAATGTATTGTGAAACTTTCCACAATGGATGATCTTTATCTGTTTGCATGTTTGTATTCCCTACCGGACTGAGCTACTCGAAGGAAGAATATATTTCTTATTCATATTTGTCTCTGAAACGTCCCACACAGTGTCCAGCACATGGTGGAAACTCTAACACTGTTGAGTGAATGAAGGTAATTGGATTTCTCATCTGTCGTTTTTTTTGGCCCAGACTGGTTCTGAGGAGTCCAGACTGATGGCCCTTTCATCTTCACCCCTTATATTCAGGCAGCTGTCCTGTCTTACGCTCAGCACAGCCCAGACCTTCACATGCTTTGGCCCCAGGCCCAGAAAATTGTGTTTTCTTGGAGATGGTTAAGACTTGTGGGCTTTGATGCCCTGATATAAACCTCCAAAAACCATCTCTTCACACCCCTCCCCAGCTCTGCAAGGCCTGTATTATTTGTTCTTGAGAATTGGAGGAAATCATGGTAGTTGGGCCTTCTCCAAACCACTAAATTACCCTTTGTGATGGTTGATTTTATGAGTCAGCTTGACTGGGCCACAGGGTTATTTGGTCAAAAATTATTCTGGGTGTTTCTCTGAAAGTGTTTTTGGATGAGATTAGTATTTAAATTGGGGGTGGAGAGGGTATAGCTCAGTGGTAGACTGCATGCCTAGCATGCATGAGGTCCTGGGTTCAATCCCCAGTACCTCCATTAGAAATAAACAAACAAACAAACAAACAAACAAACCTGATTACTTCCCCCTACCTCCAAAAGTACTTAAATTGGGAGACTGAGTCAAGCAGATTGTCCTGCCTAAGGCCTCGTCCACTCAGTTGAAGGCCTGAATCGAACAAAAAGACTGGTCTCCTCCCAGGTAATAGAATTCTTACTGCCCGACTGCCTTCAAACTGGGACATTGGCTTTTTTCCTACCTTTGGACTTGACACTTTGGCTCTTCCTGTGTCTCAAGTCTGTCGGCCTTCACATGGGAGCTGCAGTGTCAGCTTGCCTGGTTCTAAGACCTACAGACTCAGCATGGAACTTAATTAAATTCTCTGGGGTGTCCAGCTTGCTGCCTCACCCTGCAGATCTTGAGCCTTGCCCGCATAATCATGTGAGCCAAGCCTTATAATAGATCTCTTTCTAGACACAATCCTATTGCTTCTGTCTCTCTGGAGAACCCTGAATAATATCCCCCCTTTATGTATGTTAGTTTTCCTTAGTTTGTGGTTCATGCACTGTGGCTGCCTGTGGGTGATGACCACCAGCTCACAACTGTTACAGATTTACTCTGCACATCACTTTCTGGGAGCCCTGAAATCATAATATGCAGGTGGTCATCCACTCCTACTCGACTCATACTCATCTGTATAGGACAACACATCTGTATGACCTGAAAATGGAAATTCAGCCAGGTAGCCAGGTCATTGCCAAATAACAGAACTGACTACATTTCACTTTAGGTTGACAGTGGATGGGAGATGTAGGTTGTGAATTCTGTGAATATGGGGGACTGAGAATTAATTCCAGTTAGATGGTAAGCCATTTTGGAGCTGAGACATCTCAGTGCTTGATTATGCTTCCTAGTGAAGGGCTAGGTCAAGACTGATACTCTACCTCGATACTGAGGTCAGATAGTTGCTCAGACACCTGCTATGTCTGAATATTGCCTTTTTAGTATTCATGATGAATAACTATTTGTTCATTTTTTAATACTCATATCTGTGTCCTGTCCCTCTGAGCCATGGAGCTAGACTACTCTTTTTTCATATTTTGGGTGGAAAGGATTGTAAAAGCAATACCAGTTGTTTCATTTCAAA